CCTTACGTTATCACAGCTCTGAGAACTGGGTAACAGGCAATAAAACATCTTCCAAAACCACAAATTCTCAGGGCGGATGGAGGCCTCCTAGCTCGTCCACCCACCCCTCTCCACAAAGAGATGCTCAAATTCCTTCAACTTGCAACATCCCAACAAGTTTCCTGGTTCCCTTCCAGACACAGAATGAAGTGAACTGACTGGAGAAGAGTCATTACCTCTCCAGCCAGCCCACCTCACCCTTGGGCAACACCCAGTGTTAAAAAAAAAAAACAAAAAAAAAAAAACCACCAGCTTTCTTACTCATCATCCCCTGAATCTTTTGGTATCTAGCCAGAGCACATGATAGCCCTCCAGCTATCTGCAGGCAGTTACCACCCTCCCCTCCCCAAGAGTTTAGAAAGACTTGCACAGAGAGATTGCACAGGCTGCTCACTGTGAAATGTACACTCTGAGGGTTAACAGACACTTTTCACTGATAACAAAAATCAGATAGAGAAGATGGCATATCTGGTTGCAGTGGGGACCATTCCTCTTCTACCGGGGAGGTAGTGGACACAGGAGGGGAACCAGACACCAAAATCCACATACACCCTAACAACATTATTCATTAATATTGCCAGAAGAGGCATCTGAAACCAAGCCAAGTCCTTGTTTTACCAAGGACTCAGATGCAGAGAAGTTAAGAGACACAAAGAAACAGCTGTTAGGCAGCAGAGTCACAACTAGAACCTTGGAACCTGCAATCTCATCCTCTTTATACTCTACCTCCAAGCACCACCCTGCTCCAAAACTCCAAACACTAGAGTAGCCCCCTTAATTTCAGAATGGTGGTGGTGGTGATGTGCCGTGGAGTCGGTTCCGACCCATAGTGACCCTGTACAGGGTTTATGAGGCTGTAAATCTTTACGGGAGCAGAAAGCCTCATCTTTCTCGCTCAGAACAGCTGGAAGCTGGTCGTTTCGAACTGCTGACCTTGCAGTTTGCTGCCTGATTCGTACCCACTACGCTACCAGAGCTTCCTGAATTTCAGAATAGACCCACAATAATAGTACCACCTACAGCTTTACTTGCACTACATACCCAAGAGGCAAAGGGAAGAAAAAGGCCATTTGCTCTGTTTTACATGAGATGAGACCCTGGAGAGAGGTTACTTGCTCCAGGTTCCTAGCAAAGTAAGGAATGCAAAGCTCAGTTAAGACTCTGTTGACTTTGAACCAGTTCATTCAGGTTCGACTGCTTGCTGAGAATTTTCCTTTCCATTCTGGTGTGCTGCTGTGGGTTTAATGCACTGGACTGCAAAGTCAGTCTGAACCACATGGTTGTCGGTTCAAGTTCACCAATCACTCCTCAGATACCCTATATAGGGTCACTATGGGTGGGAACCAACTTGAGAATCCCAGATATACTGAATCAGGATCTACATTTTAACAAGATCCAATGTAGCGTAGTGGTTACGAATTGGGCTGTGAACCGCAAGGTCAACAGTTTGAAACTACCAGCTGCTCCACGGGAGAAAGATAAGGCTTTCTGCTCCCGTAAAGATTTACAGCCTAGGAAACCCTGTACAGGGTTGGTATGAGTCGGAACCCACTCCACAGCACATAACAACAACAACAATGTAGTTCAGAAGTCCTGGTATGGCATTGTGGGTTAATGCGCTAGACTACAAAATCGGTTTGAACTGCAAAGGTCAGTGGTTCAAGCTCTCCAGCTGCTCCTCGGAAGCACTATATAGGGTGGCGATGAGTTGGAACCGATTTGACAGCACTTAACAACATGTGTCTTGGTGGGGCACTAAATGGCAAGGTCAGTTTGAACCGCAAGAGTGACAGTTCAAACTCACCAGCCACTCCTCAGAAATCCTATCCAGGGTTGTTCTAAGTCAGAATCGACTTGGCAGCATTTAAAAACAACAACAACTCTCAGCAGCAGTCCTGGGATGGTGCTGTAAGGGGAGCACTGAACCATAAGGTCAGTGGTTCAAACCCAGGACTCACTCCTTGGAAACCCTATATAGCAGGGAGGGAACTTTTTACTACCAAAATTTATTTGCGAGCCATACAAAATTATCAATTTAAAAATTAGCCTGCTAAATTTGGTCAAACATTTAATTAACTCACCCCTAATGTGCTCTGGTGTGGCGCTGTGAGTTAATGCGCCAGACTGCAAAGCCATTTGAACTGCAAGGTTGGCAGTTTAAGCTCACCAGCTGCTCCTTGGAAACCCTATACAGGCTAGCTATGGGTCGGAACCAACTCTACGGCACTTATCAACAACAATGTGCTCTGGCAGCACAGTGGTTATGAGTCAGGCTGTTAACCTCAAGGTCAGCAATTCGAAACTAACAGCTGTTTCACAGGGGAAAGATGAGGCTTTCTGCTCCCATAAAGATTTACAGCCTTGAAAACCCTATACAAGGTTGCTGTGAGTTGGAACCGACGCCACAGCACACCATCACCACTAATGTGTCTTGGTGCGGTGCTACGGGTTAATGCACTGGACTGCAAAGTTGCTTTGAACCACAAGGTTGGTGGTTCAAGCTCACCAGCTGCTCCATGGAAACCCTATACAGGGTTTCTATGAATCGTTAGGATAACAACAATTCTCAGTAGGGAATGAACTGGTTGGAAATTCTGGTTAAAAGAAGTTGTGTTCTGGGTGGAAATAGGTTCCCTAACAAAGGGAAAGAAGTGACTCTCATCTACTGTTTTATGACTGCTACACACGCAGACAGAAGAGGCTCTGAGAGCGTACTGGTTACAAGTCGGGCTGCTAACCTTAGCAGTTCGAAACTACCAGTAGTTCCACAGGAGAAAGACGAGGCTTTTTGCTCCCATAAAAGATTTACAGCTTTGGAAATCCTATGCTGGGTCATTATGAGTTGGAACCAAATCCACAGCACCACAACACCACCACCAGCACCACCACACAAGCAGACATGAGGAGATCTGCAACTCTTCCCCTTCCTTCCTTCCTGCCTCCCCAAATCCTCATGTTCAGGGGACAGAGCAATAGGAAGACAGTCAGGAGCTCTTGGTTGTGCTCAGACCAGCTTTGTGACCTGGGGCACACCAGCTACCAGGCTGAGCTCCAGTTTCCTCATGTATATAAACAGGGATAATACATTCTTCCCTGTCAACGTAACCATGATGTTGTGGGACTCAGCTGACACAGACCAAGTATGAGGCACAGACGCTCAATCACACAATAAGCAACTGTCCCTTTGTTGCTCTCACTTCCCCACCTCCCTACTACCAGCCCTACGACTTTGAGCAGGTAGAAGGTTCATGAAGAATCAAGGGGAGACAGTAAACCAACTATGACATCATCCCAACAGTCTGTGACACTTGAACAAGGCCTCTATTTTCTCAGAAAACTTTTCTAGTTGTTATAATTGTTGTTGAGTGCTGTCGAGTTAGTTCTGACTCACAGCAAGTCTATATGAGGTTTCCAAGAAGCAGCTAGTGCGTTTAAACCAACAATCTTGTGATCAGCAGTCCACTGCTGATCCTACAGTGCCACACCAGGACTCCAGTTACTATAATTGTTGCTGGTAAGTACCATTGAGTTGGTTCCAACAGCCGGCAGGTTTGAATTGCCGACCTTATCGGTCACAGTCCAGAACTGATCCTACAGCACCATCTATTAAATCCTCTGTGGAGTCCTAGTGTGGTGCTGGAGGACCAGCACTGGACAGATAACCACAAGGCTGGAGGTTCAAACCCACCAGTTGCTCCTCAGAAACCACGAGTCAGAACCAACTTGATGGCACTTCCCAAGTCCTCAGTGCCAGGCACCATACAAAGGATTCTGCCTGCTGTCTTGCTCTGGGTTCTCAAAATCTCCCATTTCACAGATGACAAACCTTAGGCTCAGAGGTTATGGGCTAGCAGGTGGAACCAGGATGAAACTCATTTCTATCCAGCCCAATGGCTGCCAAACTTTAAAGGACTCAAAAATCACCTGCAGTGATTCATGAATAAAACAGATCCCAATTCTGCAGGTTTAGAGCAGGACCTGAGCATCTGCATGGCTAGCAAACTCCTGACTACACTTTAAGTAGCATCAGCTCAATATTAAGTTCCATCAGGGCAGTGGCTTACCACCGAATCCCACGGTTTACCCCAGAACTGGTCCAGTGAAGGCGCTCAATTACTACTGAATGAGTCAATGAATGTCTGACTCAAAACCCCACTCAAAACGGTTTACCACTTCTCTAAAGAGAGTTTCATGATCTCCTTAGATCCTGGAACTGCTCTATCATCCCCATTTGACAGATAAGGAAGCAGAGGCTCAACAGAGAGTAAACAAGTAGTCAATGATCTTACAATTATTTTACAACTAAAGGATCTACTTCAAATACTTTGCCCTGACCACAGCTGCCTCAAGGAATGTTGCTGTTGTTGTTATTCCGACTCTCCTCGACCCAGTATAGGGTTTCCACAGCTGTAAATCTTTATAGGAGGAGAAAGCTTCACAGGTCTCCTGTAGAGCGCCTGGTGGATTCGAACCGCCGACATTGAGGTTTACAGCTCAACTCGTAACCCACACCACCAGAGCTGTAATTAATCATTACAGACAGCCGGATGATGAGGAACTGGACCCATTCACACACATGACCGACTCGCAGTGCGGGAGGTCACCCAGGGCTCCGCGCCGCTGCTCGGGGGAGAAGGGGGCTAGTGCCCGGCGCCCCCCCCCACCACCACCCGTGAGGGACAGGAGGAGGCAGAGTCTGGCATAGTGCCAGGCAGCAGTGGGCAGGGGGCAGGTGACCTCCGCGAGAGCCCTGCTGAGCCCAAATACCGCTCGCGAGGACCCCGGCGTTCAAGAAGATGAATCACCGGCACCTGATCCCTCACCGGAGGGGAGGGGAGGGTGCGCCCCAGGCGCGGGATGGGGCCGGCGCTCGGGGAGCACAGGTCCCGCGCCGAGCTCCTCCAGCCTGGATTTAGGGAGCAGAGAGCAGCCCCGGCCGCCCCCAGCCCGCGGACACTCACGGCCTTGAGCTGCTCTAGCCGGTCCTTCATCCTGGGGCCCTGGCGCCCGCGGGCAGGGGAGCTGCCGGAAGTGGCGGCCCGGCTGCTCCGGACCTGGGAGCTCAAGACACAGGCGGGCGGCTGTCGCTCAAGGAGGAGCGTCCGAGGCCACTGAGGCTCCGCCGCGCCGCCCCCTCCGGCCCCCGCCGGCGCCGCGCGCTCCAAATCCGGATCCCAGGCCGGCGCCGGCGCAGCGAGGAGCGCGGAGCGCGCGGCCCGCCCCTCACCTGGCGGCGCCCGCGCCCGCGCCGCCTTAAAGGGCCCGCTGCCCGTCGCGTCGCCAGTCCCACCCCCTACCTCGATACTCCAGGACCCCGGAGTCTGGGTGGAGGTCCGGCGCTGCTAGATCCCACCGTGGGGCCCTGGGAGAGGGGGCGGGTCTGCGTGGTCTCCACCCCAGTCGCCTACCTGGCCCAGGCTCTGTGCTGTTATCCAACCTCAACGAACTTAAAGGAGTAACTCTAGGAATGAGATTTCAGATACGGGGCAAAGTGGGAGTCCTGGTGCGGCGCTGTTGGATCAGCACTGGACTGCTAACCACAAGGTTGGCGGTTCAAACCCACTAGCCACTCCTTGGAAACCCTAAACAGGGTCCCTATGAGTCAGAACTGACTCTACTGCACATAACAACACAACAACATGAAGTGGGAGGAAACTGCTAGGACAGTCCAAGTTAGAACCCCGAATCCGGCCGGTGAGAAGGGTATTCCCAATGGGAACAGCGATCGTGCGAGCACAGAACCAAATCTACTGCCATGGAGTCCATTCTGACTGATGGCGACCCTGTAGGGCAGAGTCCAACTTCTCCTTAGGGCTTCTGAGAGTGGAAATCTTTACGGGGGCAGACAGCCTCATCTTGCTCCGAGGAGCACCTGGTGGGTTTGAACCTGCATCCTTGCGTCTGAACTGTTAACTCACTGCACCAGCAGCTTCAGAAACAGCAGGAATTCATGGTGGGGCGGGGCGGGGCGGGGAGGTGCGTAGCAGCTGGCACTGAAAGAGGAAATCACCAGAGATGGGGCAGAAAGGCTGAGACTGCTGCCAACGGGGACCCTCCCGAAAAAGTAAAGGGTTCAATGATAACGTCAGAACACTTGTCGCCAACAATTTTCATAACCAAAGGGAAAAAGCCTGTTTCTCCAATTTCGTATCTGTAAATCAAAGATAAACCCCACTTCATATTTTATTGTGAAACTTGTGTGAGACAGGCGGAGGGAAGTAATTAGTTAATTAGAGAGCCGTGGTTGGAATGATAAAGATGTTTGTATTGGAAAGCTTAAGTCATCCTCATTTCCTATGTGATGTAGCTATTCCTAGGAGCCTGGGTGGCACAAACGGTTTGTGATCATATCCGAGGCAGGTAACGGAAAGGTGGGCACTTCCAACTCGCTTAGTGGCACCGCCGAAAAAAGACTTGGCAAACTGCTGGCATAAAGATTCCATTCCTACACACACACACACACACACACACACACACACACACACACACACACACTCCCTCCACAGCACACACAAAACTATGACGCGGTTTTGCTTTATTACACATGACGTCACCAGGAGTTGGAAACACCTGAATGGCAGAGTTTGGGGGTTAATTTTTGTGGTTATTCCTAGGTGGTTGGGCTTTCTGAACAGGTGGAAGGGTTCTTTGCACTACTCTGTCTGTATCCCCTCCTCGTCCCCCTTCCCTTATGTCTTCTTGCGAACAAATGGGATACCCAGCTCAATAAATGGGATTGATGAGCCGAGGATTTAATTCTTAAAAGAAACCTGCTCTGTGCAGTCAGGTTAAAAGGTTGTGTACGTATTTTCGTAGTCTAACAGGACTTTGGCCTCTTCAGCGATCTTATGGGTGATCCAGGCTGACTTCATCGCCTTCCATAAAGATACAGTTGTGGCAGGTCGGGTTGTTTTTCTGATCCGCCCTCCCTCAGCATACTTCCTTCTACCCCAGGCGTTGGCGAGGTGGAGAACCCAGTCCTGAGAACAGGGAAGGCTTCTGCGCCTCCTCGTGGTCACAAATAGAAAAGGCAAGTGCATCAGAAATATCCCATCCAGTCACTTCACTTGACAAACGTTTGTTGTTGGGTTAGCTAAATCTTTGCGCTTCAGGAAAGGTAACAGAGATAGATGTGTACGAAAAACAAAAGTTTTTTTTAAAAAACCTCTTCACATTACTGTAGAAGTTTTCAAAGGGCCACAGGTCTCTGAATGAAAAAATCCTTTGCATATCAGAAGACACTGGTGGTGGTGGTGGTGGTGGTTATGTGCCATGGAGTCGGCACCGACTCATAGCAACCCTATACGGGGGGTTTCTGAGACTGTAAATCTTTACAGGAGCAGAAAGACTCATCTTTCTCCCGTGCAACAGCTGGTAGTTTCGAACTGCTGATCTTAAGGTTCAGAAGACACTGGATGGTACAAATGTTTAACAGGCTCTGATGCTAATGAAAAGGCTTGTGAAATCCATCCAGATCATCTTGAAAGAAAGTCCTGGTGATCTGCTTAGAAAAAATTAGCCGTTAAAACTCCTATGGAGCAGAGCAAAGCGTCCAGCTAATACAAAGTGAGGGGAGACACATAAGAATGTCAAAACTTGTAGATAGTACCCATTCAACCTAGCTTCCATGGCTTGATGATCAGAATTCAACTAGAAGAAGATTTTTTTTTTAATTTGTTTTATAAAGGAAACAAGTATCAATTGCTACAACTTGATGAACTTGACCTATACTTATGGATGTTGCTGTTGTCAAGTGCCGTCGAGTCGATTCCGATCCATAGTGACCCTGTACAGGGTTCCCGTAAATCTTTATGGGAGCAGAAAGCCTCATCTTTCTCCCGCGGAGCGGCTGGTAGTTTCGAACTGCTGACTTTGCGGTTCATAGCCCGATTCGTAACCACTACGCTACCAGAGCTCCTTATACTTATGGATGTAGTATCTCAAAATACCAACTGAGGGGGAAGGAGTCTTCACATTAAGGATTAGTCCTATTGTTAAGTGCCATCGAATTGACTCCAACCCATAGCAACCCTGTATAAGGTTTCCAAGTAGCAGCTGGTGAGCTTAAACCGCCAGCGGTCTGGTATACTAACCCACAGTCCTATCCCCTCTGTATACAGGGTTGATAGGGACAGATAACTTAGAAATTGGCTACCTAAAATGACACAAAGTGACTGGCTTACAAGTTTTCACTGAAGGAGTTTAGTTTCAGAGTGTGCAGGGGAAGCTAGAATCCCCACTGAATAGTTAACTTTCATCTTGTCTAGATGGGTCTGGTGAAAAGAGATAGGGATGAGATTCTTATGATTCAATAGTGAATGATTGTTATCATGACTAATTGTGACTGTCACAACTGTAAAGGTAGAAGTTTTGTAACAAGAAGGCGGGAGTAGTTCAGAAACTACGTATAATCCAGAAACAGAGGACCCTAGGACCAACAAGGCAGAGGAGCACAAGTGCAATGTGGGACCCTATCCAGAAAAACAGCAACACCAGTAATGGAGGCAGAGATGAGACCATGGAGAGGGAGCAGCTGAGGACTCTAAAAGATCACTGTTTTTAAAAGAATAAGATCATGACTCAAATATAAAATGAACACACACCAAAGATTGATATAACTCATTACTTAATGAGGTAACCAGTAAGGCGTCAAACATCTGTTCAGGAAAGAATACAAAGAATTAAAACAGGCCATCGGGATTGATGAAATGAATATGATTTCTAGGAGTGGGGAAAGATCAATTTCAACTTCATCAGACAGAATTTGTTTGCATCCCTGTGGACAAGGTGTAGCATGGTGGGCAAAAGCACTGGCCTGCAAGGTTGGTTTGAACTATAAAGGTCAGTGGTTCAAACTCACCATCTGCTCCTTGGAAACCCTATACAGACCCGCTGTGAATCAGAATCAACTCAGCAACACTTAACAACAACAACAAATGGACAAGAATAATTTGCCTTATTGTCACTTTTCTGCAGGAGAAAAATGAGACTTTCCTGCTCCGGTAAAGAATGACAGCGTTGGAAACCCTACACAGGGTCACTATGAGTCAGAACTAACTGTACCACACTTAACAACAACAACCATCACTTTCTTCACCTTTACAGAGTTGTGAAATGGCTACAAGTCCATGAAAGGCACAGTCCACTGTAAAACCAATAACCCCGGAGGGTGTGCTAGGCAAAGCCTAGAAATCCTAGGATAACAGTCATTTTGGGTTTTTTTTTGGGGGGGGTGGTTTTTTTCAGTTTTCACTGACACTCTCAAGGTAGCCTTTCAGGGTTAAACAGCTCCAACAATTGTTAAACAGTTCTTTGTTACTCAGAACAGAAATCTTTCACCTTGTAACTTTCACCATTGTTTCTTGCTCCTTGTTTTTGTCTAGACCAAGAAATTGTTCCCAGCCTCAAGATGGCCTTTCCCTGAGGGGAGAAGCACTGTGAGAAGAGAATCGATGCTGCTGGACACAGAACTAGGAAACCTGAGTTCTAGATGTGGCACTGCCACCAAATAGCTCTCATTTGACATCACACCACTAGGTCCTCGCCCGATAAATAAAGAAATGACCAAAACTAATGATTCCTAAACTTTTCTGGATCTCCAGTTTTAAAAGACTCTGTGTCACTGTGAGTTAATGTATCAGACTGCAAAGCCGTTTGAACTGCAAGATTGGCAGTTCAAGCTCACCAGCTGCTCCTTGGAAGCCTTATACAGGGTCGCTATGGGTCAGGATCAACTTGGCACTTAACAACAACAACATGTCCCTAACAAGTTGTTGTTGTTAAGTGCTGTCAGTCTGTCCTGATAGTGCCCCTGTTATCTTTTCCAAGGAGCAGCTGGTAGATTTGAACCACCAACCCTGAGATCAGCTGTCCAATACTTACCCTACAGCACCACACCAGGACCCCAATGTATTTATTAGGAAATAAGGGATTTGCTTTCCTATGAAAGATGTTTCCATAAAAAATATAAATGACCATTGAGCCTTTTGGATCTCTGAGCAGCACCATGGTGGTCGACAAGAACAAGCACCTTACTTACCAAAGGGGGCATGAAAGCAGCCAAGAAGATAGTGGTTGATCCATTTTCTCAGAAAGATCAGTATGATGTTAAGGCACCAGCTATGTTCAATATAAGAACTATTGTGAAAACACTGGTCACAACAATTCAAGCAACCAAAATTACATCTGCTGGACTCAACGGTCATGTTTTTGAAGTGAGTCTTGCTGATCTGCAGAACAATGAAGTTGCGTTTAGAAAATTCAAGCTAATGACTGAGGATGTTCAGGGCAAAGTCTGCCTGACCAACTTCCAGAGCATGGATCTTACCCATGACAAAATGCGCTCCGTGGTCAAAAAATGGCAGACCACAATTGAAGCTCATGTTGATGTCAAGACTACAAACAGTTATTTGCTTTGCCTGTTCTGTGTTGGTTTTACTAAAAAACACACCAATCAGATCCAGAAGATATCTTATGCTGAGCATCAACAGATCCATCAGATCCAGAAGAAAATGATGGAAATCATGACCCAAGAAGTACAGACAAATGACTTGAAAGAAGTGGTCAATGTATGGCTCTGTGGGTAATACGCCAGGCTGAAAAGCCATTTGAACTGCAAGGTCGGCGATTCCAGCTCACCAGCTGCTCCTCAGAAACTCTATACAGGGTCGCTATGGGTCTGGATCGAGTCAACGGCATTTAACAACAATGACAGCATTGGAAAGGACAGAGAGAAGGCTTGCCAGTCTATTTACCCTCTCCATGATGTGTTTATCAAGAAAGTAAAAATGCTGAAGAAGCCCAAGTTTGAGTTGGGAAACCTCATGGAGCTTCATGGTGAAGGCAGTAGTCCTGGAAAAGCTACTGGAGATGACACAGGTACTAAAGTTGAACGAGCTGATGGCTATGAACCGCCAGTTCAAGAAGCTGTTGAAAAATCAGATGTTTAATGATGACAAATAAAAGATCTTATCTGAGTGGAGGTGACCTTTGAGTAACCTGCATAATCATAATAGAAAAGGCTGCAAAAATTGTCCTTAAAACTTTTTGAACACTGAAAACAGGATCAAGAAGTCGCTTAATTGCAACTGGAGTCTAGGAACCCAAGAAGGAGGAAGCACCAGTCAAATTCTTTACTTCTGGCATTCTCTCTGAATGTGCTTATTACAAATTTGGCAGTCCTTGGGTGGTATAAATGCATAAGCCCTCTATTACTAGCTGAAAGGCTGGCAGCTCAAACCCATCCAGAAGCATAAAAGACAAGCTATGTCCCTAGTAAATAAACATAGCGTAAAAGTTAAGGGTTTGCATTTTGATTATAACTAAATCAGCCGATGCCTAATTTAGCTTTTATAAACAAACCAAAGAGAATCCTGTGATTTTGGAGACCCATTTCCCTCTCTCCTCCTTCAAAGGCTGGTGAGGAAGGCTGGACCTTGCTCCATCCTGACCTTCAGGGTTTGTCCTGGAACTGGTAAGATTACTTTCTGGCTGGAATACTTTAAAGCCTTGTCTCCAGTGTTTGCCTTTCAATAGGAAAAAAGAAAGGATATTGAAGAATTTCTCTACACCCTTCTTCAACATTGATCTGCGGTAGGGAAGGTAAAGAATAACCAGTATTCTTACTGGTTTGTAGTTCTCCCTACCCCATACAGTTTCTATAAGGAGTCTTAGTGGTACAAAGGTTCAGCACTTTGCTGCTAACCTAAAGGTTGACAGTTTGAACCCACCCAATGTCTCCACAGAGGACCACCTGGTAATCCATTCCTGTGAAGATTGTTGTTGTTGTTGTTGTTAGGTGCCATGAGTTGATACCGACTCATAGTGACCTGACGCACAGCAGAACGAAACAAGGTCCGATCCTAGGCCAACCTCACTGCTGTTGCCACGCTTGAGTCCATCGATGCAGCCACTTGGCCAATCTATCTTGCTGGGGGTCTTCCTATTTTTCTCTGACCCTCCACCTTACCACATATGATATCCTTCTCCAGCGACTGCTGCCTCCTGACAATATGTCCAAAGTAGGAGTGACGAAGTTTGGCAACTCTGGCCTCCAAGGAGCACTCTGGCTGCACTTCTTCCAAAATGGATCTATTGGTTCTTTTGGCAGTCCATGGCACTTTCAATATTCTCCTCCAACACCATAACTCAAAAGCATCAATTCTTCTATGGTCTTCCTTATTC